CGTCGTGAGTGCCCGCCCCGGGGCCGCCTCCCCGGCCCCTCGGCTGCCCCGCTCGCTGCTCCTTGGCGCTAGTGCCTGCCTGAGGGCACGTGCCCGTCGTGCCTCTGGTGGCAGCGTGTTCACTCTGAAGCCTAATGGTGTTGCGCCGGTGCTGACTGGGCTGGGGGGGCACAGCCCTCCTCCAGTGCTCAGCTGCTTGCTTGTGTCAACCAAGCAGGTCCTTGCTGAGGCTGGCAAGTGAATGGCTGACCTCTCACAGCTGGTACTGGGGGTCCAGTGCTGCTGGCTGCTCCTTCCCTTTCTACCTAAGGAGTGAGCCCTGGGGCTCTCAGGTCACCACAGTGCAGTGCCTTCCATGGACTTGGGGAAGAGGGGAGAGGGGCTGGGTACTTCCCCCAGCAGCCAAGGTAGTTTAGGGGTGCCCTTTCCTGGCCTCCATTAATGGGGGCCCTGCTGCCTTCCCCTTCTTACCCTGCTCAGATCTTAGAGGATTACCTGCTGGTGGAAGATGCACCTCTGCTGGAGGAAATGGCCGAGGAGGATGAAGAGTTTGACCTGTACAACGAGATGACTTTTGGGTTAGGTAAGGCTGAGGGGAGGCCTAAGGCTGGGGAGGTTCAGCTGTGCTGTGGGCACTGGGGTTTCAGCTGCAGCTTAGCACCTGGTGAGGATGAGATGGGTAGTGAGGAGGACATGGGTGGGGAGGCTGCAGCCTTGGTGAGGAGCTGGGCTGGGAGTGGAACCCACTGCGTGCTCTGCTTCTCTCCGCAAGATCACGACTCCACCGAAGAGGATGTTGCAAAAGCCCTGGTGCTTTCAGAGAAGCGCCCCGAGCTGGCTGGGGTGGAGGAGGCCAAGGCCGCCGAGGAGCTGGAGCCCAGAGCCCATGAGGAGCAGCTGCTGCTGGAGGAGCTGGGAGAGCCCCAGGGGGAAGGAGCACTGGAGCTGGAGGCCGAGCAGGTCGACTATATGGAGGAGGAGGAGGAGGAGCTGGGCACTGAGGAGCCAGAGGAAGAGCAGGAGCCTGAGGAGGAGCCCAACGACCTGGGAGACCCAGCGGTGATGAGAGCCGTGCAGAGCAAGCCCCCACTAGAGGTGATGCACGAGTGGGGCAGGAGGGTGACCTGCTGTCCCTGCCCGGCCACCTTCCGCTCGTTCCTCCCTCCCAACCAGCCTTCCCGCTGCCTCTGGGCATGGGAAGGGGGTGGCTTTGCCCCTGTTCATGTTGGGCGAGGGAGGCTCTGGGGCTGAGAGCACCTCTCTTTTCCCTGTCTTTGCTCCTAGAGCCAGGACTCGGCGGTGCTGGACAGCAGGATCGGCTCTGCCTGGGCAGAGTTTGGCAAGGAGGACGTGGTAAAAGCACTCGGTTTCGGGCAGCGCCGCTTGCCCCTCTCTCCCGTGGGTGCCTCTTGCCTCGCTCACCCGCCCGTGTCTTTCAGCTGGCCGTGGATCCTGCTGCGTGGAGCTCCTGCCCCGGCAGCCTCCCGCCCCACCACGTGCTGGAGGTGGGTGCCCCCTGGGG